CAATTTAAATTTTTAATAAATTTGATTTATTTTTAATAATATTTTTATTTTAGTAATTTAAAATTGAAGTTAATCTTCATTTTGTGAATATTGAGACCAAAGTTTATTTTTAAAGTATATTTTAAAAATTAAATTATTTTTAAAAAATAAATTACTTTTAAAAAATAAATTGTAAAAAATATACTAAAACAATTAAAGTATATTTATAAAAAAATAAATTTAAATATAATAAAAAATAATATTCATTAGCGACCGATTTCAATTAGGTCACTATTTTCTCATTAGCTGACCGATTTTAATTCGGTCACTATTTCAATATGTAATTCGGTCGCTAAATCAGTCGCTAAATGATTTTTTTATTTTAGTATGGAATAGCCACCGATTTAGCGACCAAAATTTTGAGACGCAAACTATTGGTCGCTATTTCGGTCGCTAAATAAAAAAGTGAAACCAAATCATATTTTGGTGGCTAAATCGGTCAGCTAAATTGCGATCGAATTAACTCTGGTCGCTAAATCGATCGCTAATTGCGACCGAATTAAAGTGGTCGCTAAATTGGTTGCTAATTGCGACCGAATTAAATCGGTCACTAAATCGGTCGCTAATTATGACCAAAATTAAATCGATCGCTAAATCGGTCGCTAATTTCGGTAGCTAAATATGTTTTTTCTTGTAGTGATAATAGATGATTATCCATTAGTAAAATTCTTAATCCACAAGAATGAGTCTTTTATGTCTTTTATAAGTAATAGTGTTAGTGCATCAATACTATGTCAATACTAGCTATAATGTTAGGTAAAGGAGATTTCACAAAAAAGATATACACAAATGGAGGAAGATAAAGAGAAAAAAAATTTTCTTGTTTGGCACAAGCATAAATGTTTACTAAATTTTACAAAGTTTGCATTTTTATTACGTCAAATAAAAAACTTAGCATCCGTGTTCAAACCTTCAAACCCAATTCAATTATTCCATCACAATATTAACAAATAATATTGCTTACATTAATAGTTAATATTTGTCTGATTTACACACTGAATAATATATAATTAGCTGTTAAAAATTTGTCTTTTTTATAACCCTTTTTTCTATCACTGTTTATAATTATTTTTATAAAATGTTATTAATCACAGGAATATTTTATAGTATCTTAAAACTCTTTTAACATATTAAGACATAATGGTTCAAAATTATTTAAAGATCATAAGAATATTTTAATCAATTAAAAACATGTTTTAACATGTAAAATAGAATCTCCATAACAATTTATGATTTTAATATATTAAAATGATTATTTGATCATTAAAATGTAACATAAGAATATTTTATCATATTAAATATATCTTTTCATAGATTAAATTTTTTTTATTATCAAGACAACTTTAAAATCATTTTCAAAAGACTTCCTAATAGTAATATGCAAGATCAAACTACTCAAAAAAACATACATTAAACTTAAATCAACACACCACACATTCTCTAAGCACATCAACTTCTTTAATTTTGATGGAGAGTTGATTCATCAAATCAAGAAAGGTTCAAAACTTGATCCAACATAATCTTTAGAAAAAATCATCTTAAGAGAAAATAGAATTTGTTGCATCATCCTAATCATTAAATTTTCTTATGTTTACATTAATTAGTTGTACATTAATCAATTGCATCATCTGAACATTTATTTTTCTTATATAAGATATTTTGTTTGAGTATATATCCATTTTTTTTCATCTGCAAGTTTTTTCATGTTGTATTGGTCTTTGTTTTTGTATAATAGCTTAAAAATACATTTAGGTTTATTCTTTATACAGATAATGGTTTTAAAAAGGAAAGACAATCAAAGCCTCTCCAAAACAGTTTTTAACAACCATCTTATTATTGAAGTTATGTATATTAGAAGAGAAGAAATAAACAAATTAACAAAGATAAAGAGTTGTTGTGCACCATGTTGCAAAATATTTATGCTTACTCTTTTTGCTTTTTATCTTAATTTTGTTAAAGTATATGAACTACGATTATTGTGTTAAACTATTTCTCAAGGCTATCATGTTTCTATTATCTATCAACGTTTGTTTCTTCTTTTAAAGAATGATAAAGTTTGACAATTTGTTTTCAAAATTTAAAAATATGAAAATTTAACATTAAACACAATCCAACCGCTTATTATTTTCTTCCTATATACAAGTTTTATTAACATTGTTAATTTGAATATGTTTGGTAAGCTATATGTGATTAATTTTAACTACGTAAAAAATATGTGATTAATTTTAACTACGTAAAAAATATGTGAAATGATATTATAGTATGCTTATGTTTTTTTTTTTTTTTTTCAATATTATTTTATTTTGTTACGCTTTGAATATGCGATGGACCCATGAGTGCTTTTGAAATATTTGTGCATATGTATTTATTTGCTTTTAATATATAAATTTGAGTATCTCTCTAAAAAGAAAAAATGTGTAAATTTTTATTTTAATAAATAGAGACAATGATTTAGAGTAGTATTTACTTGATATATATATATATATATATATATATATATATATATATATAAATTATATGTTAAAAGTTTACTTTTTATTCGATTTTAGTAAGTGATTATATTTTCTCTTAAGAAATAAAGTCCGATAAGCATCATTGAGATAAAATGATAACATCTTTTGATTAAATAAATAAAATTATTATGTATTTTTTATGTTCAAAATGTTTAAGATTTGAATACACAGATCAATAAAAATATTAATTTTTATAATTTATAGTAATTTTTTAATAATACCTTTGTTATTTTATTTTTATCAAAGACACACAAAATAACTTATCTTCTTCTACAATGAAATAGCACTTTATTCGTTTTCTTGAAACATAAATGAATCTTATGAATAATATATTTTAAAAGAAAAATTATTTAACTATAATCTTTATTAATTTATTTATTTACCTAGATCGATTTACTTTTGATATATAGTTTTCTTTTCTCTTCTTATAATTTTTTTTTCTTTCCTCGTTCACTTTTTATCTTTCTTCTTTCTAATGTAGGTTTCTTATTTCTCTCTTTCCTCTCCCATATCCTAATTAAACCATTATATTAAAAATTCAATAAAAATATATTAAAACAAATATTTTAAAATCAATATTAAAACTAAAAAAATTAACTAATTATTTAAAATTATGATAATAAATAATTTTATTTATTTTGATAATACATAAATTTATTTACTATAATATAAATAATTAATTTAAAATTATTTTATTATAATAATAATTACTCATCTAATTAAAAATATTAAATATTTATGAGTTAAATGTATTTTGTACTTAATAATTTGATATAGTTATAATTAAATTGAGTTATGATAATTAGTTAAATTAGCTTATTTTAAAAAATATTTGTTAAAAAATTATTTCAAAATAATTTTTTTTCTTAATAATTATAACATAACAATAATATTTGTTACATTTCAACTTTATCCTATAATATTTTCTCAAAAGAAAAAAAAAGGAAAAAAAAGGAAGATAAACATTAAATGAAGAATGAGAAAAAAATAACAAAAAAAAAATGAATAAAGAGAAAAATAAGAAAATAAATAATGGAAGAGAGAAAAATAATTATATTATATTAGAAAAATTTATTTTCACTCATTAAATTTTGTATATGAAATTTGGAAATATTTTACTTAAATAATTTTTCTTTTTAACTGTATTATTTATAAGATGGATTCCAAAAACGTTTTTATTTTATTAAAAATAAGATTCTGTTCATAATTTTTTAATCTATGAAGATTTTAACACGGATAATTTTGATTTGAAAATTATATAAGAAAAAATTGTTTTCCTCTAAAAAAAATAATATCATTTATAATTTCTTTATACATTTGGCATCTTAATTTAAAAAAAAATCACTATTTTATAATCATAAATATAAAAATAGATTTCCATGAAATAAATTTAAATTCTGAAACACATGTACATATTTAAAATCAACTAGAAGTGATAATAAAAGAAAAAATTTATAAAATGTGAAATAAAAAATTATATATATATATATATATATATATATATATATTATTTTAAAATGTAAAAATCCGTCTCTACTTAATCTCATAAAAATGTCAAAATTAATATCATAAGAAGTTGTATAACTACAATTTTTTTATCCTTAATTTGTTTAGATTAATTCACCATTTATTTTATGAGTAGAGGAAAATTCAGAGATTGAAACGGCTAAACTTGTGCAAAGCCTTCTCCTTTATTTAACTATTTCTTGTTGCATCTTCTCTCTCTTTCTCTCTAGGCTCACTAACTTTTACACCTTTTTCTTTTCTGGATTTCCTGCATATTGTTATTCAGACAATGGGACTGCTTATTACCATGCCATCAGAGGCGTAGTAATAAACAGCAGGATCAGGCACCTGGGTCTTTTCTGGGTACATTTTTTATTCAGTCTTTTCAAATGCATTTTCTCATTTTAAATCCTTTCTTTTAATTGCTGCAAGAACATATATGTTCGTATGAGGTTTTTGATTACCATTATTTTCATTCACTAGTATGTTATATTGTATATGGTCACTAATATATGTTGTATTTGTATAATGTACATCCAAGATATGTAATAATTTATCTTCAATACAACAAATCGCTTCGCTCTTAATCATCTTGGATCAAAATGATGCAAACACTTCAAACAAAAATGAAGATTTTTGTGATTTTGTGCAAGCAAGCACCTAACACCTTTGTCACCTTACACATTTGGCGAGCTAGAAACTTTTATAATAACCCTTTGAGGCAAATCTTTATAACCTCAAGATTGCTAAAACACATATTATGGCAGGAAATGGAGAGAGAAGTCCAATTAACATCCATTTGGAAGCAAATCTTAATAACCCTTTTGGTGAAGCTCATCCTTCTCCATTGACAAATAACACATCTTCCTCTTCATCGTCACAGAACTCCTTCATACTCATGGGTGGTGTCACCAACACTAACCATGTTGGTGCATATCTGAAATGGTGCATGACCATCTACATTCATTGCCTCCTGTGAAACAAGAAAAAGGTGTCATGACAAACAATAGTGTTACTGGATTTCCTGATGATGGTCTGCTAGGCCCCCATTCATCTTTGGTACCATCTCCAAATGAATCATCACAAGGGAATCACTTCAATGTTCCATCACCGGAGCGAAGTCATTGGAGCATGCCTAATTGTGAAGCATGGAGACATCCTTATAACACACATGCTGAAACTCATTATCCTTTTTCAAGCCCTCAATTAGACCCCTTGTTCACATTGGAATCAGCACAAAACCAACAATTTAGAGATGGTGCTCCTGTCACCAAACAAAGTCCTCCTCTACAGGTAATGGAGCGTGTAGAGAATCCTACAACTTCTCCCGATTATAGGTTTCCATCTCATGTGTTTGATAGGAACAAATCAAAATCAACCAATCAATGGAGCAATGCCTCTAATGAGTCATTGTTCAGCATTCATATGGGAAATACGAGTTTCTCAAGTGACATTGGTTGGATGAGTAAATCTCGTGAAATGGATAAATTTGTTGACATGAACGCATCTGATGCATCAGTTCAAGGCAACCTCCCGGCACTCCCATCTCAACCCCTATCCCCAGCTACAAAATTCAATGATATCAACCAATGCACTGCCAAACAATGTGATGGTTCAAAATTGACCGAACTGAAAGCTGCTGAGACAATGAGAGAGGTTATAATGGAAAGCAGTATAAAAAGAGCGAGTTTACGCGATGGGGATTTGACAAATCTTGCAGGGGAAACTAATGGACGTTCTAATTTGCATTCCCATTCTCGCCATTCAGATGCCAGCACCACATCTTTCGCGTTTAATGTGTAAGCTCTCATCACTAACTTCTTTTGTATGCAAAAATACATGCTTGTTTCATTCACTGTGCTATTTATAGTGTGTTTTATGGGATCCAAATCAAGGTGCACCTTGAAAAACTGGAAGCAAATCTTCATTGGTTTGCTTTCAACCTGAAGATTTTGAATTGATTTTTGCAATCTTGTGGTTAAACCAAACATGCTAGACCAGTATGACATACTAATCATGTTTGGTTTGAGTTCTCTTTTACTATCCCACTTTGAAAGCAAAGCAATACAGAGTTGTTTCTAGTCTTTCATAGTGTCACCGTGATTTTGGTCATTGCATATATTAATTTTCATGTATTTGTGTGTTTGGAAAGTGATTCTAGAATTTTTTTTTTTTATTTCACCAAAGTAAATGATTTTGAAATGGAAAGTGTAAAATTTAGCCCTTGAACTCATACTATAAGAACTGTATAAAGGGAACATGAATGCATCAACGTTGAATTGTTAACTTTCATTATTAGTAGAACAAAATTACTCAAATTACTCTGGTGGTGATAATGCTTCTTGATGGTGGCCATTTCTTAAACTTGATGCTAAGCTTCTTGAACAAAAAATATTGAACTGTTTTTGTGGTGTGAAGATCTGATGGAGACAAAACAATTTCACGAAAGCATGACGAAGAGAAGGAAAAGCAGCAGAGCCCTGAAGCAACACCAGATGCAGTTCAAACGCCCAAGCAAACCACAGATTCTCCTCAGAACAAATCCCCATCTTGCTTCTCATGCTGTTGATTAGAGCGCATTTTGGATTCTACCAAAACCATTTTGGTGTCTCTATCACCTTTGTAGTTTAGCATTATGCGCATGCAGTGCAGGATAACTCCAATTGGCTAGTTCATATTCAACCTTTTCCATTTCTAAACCTGTACCTCATAGTTGGGAGACCAGTCACAAAATTTCTGATTGAAAATGTATTATAATAGGTTAGTTTGATAGCAATGTTGGTAGATAAATGAATCATCAGAAAAACCAAGGGTCCAGGGTTTTCATAGCAAATTCTTTTAAGATGGCACACTAAACACATGCACACGAGTGTGAAAGGACAGACAAATGTTTTGTGGCATGTTAACAAAACATCATTGTGGTTATGCTAATACTCCATTGTCATTTGACACGTTTAAAGATGTAGTTAAGAAGCTAAAAGTCCCTCAACATAGGTAATTGAATCAAGAGGAACCAACCAATTTATATAAGAGGTTAATGAAATAAATATTTTGAGGAAATCAATTGAACTATAACTATTTGAACGGCTGTTGAATTATTTGATGCTTAGAGGATTATAAATGAGTTTTACATGAAAATTCCATTGTTGACATGATTTGTTTCGACAAGAGGCTGCTGGCATTCAGGTCATAGTATCCTAGAAGTTTCAGGGTTTAGTTAATCACCATCGTCCATCCTCATAATCTAAGTTCTATATTTTCCATATTTACAATATGGTGTGAACTTCTTAATAGTATTTAGGAAAACGTTTTTTATTTTTCTTTTTATCTTTCTAGCATTTGTTTTTTGTGTTTTATCCTTAAAATATTAGGAAAATTGTATATATTGTTAGACAAATCACTACAAGAGAAATTGTGATTACCTACAGCACAAATCCGTATGTAAGCAAGAAAATCTGTAGATAAATTTAGATTACCTACGGATAAAAATCCGTAGGTAAATCCCTCGTAGGTAATAATTACCTACGGATTTTCAATATCCGTAGGTAATTACCTACGGATATATCCGTAGGGAATAATATTCGCAGGTAATTACCTATGGATGTATTCGTATGTAATTACCTATGGATATTACCTACGGATATATCCGTGGGTAATTGAAGTATCTACTACTCTCCATTCTTTTTGCATTATTCTGATTGCATTGACCTGGACATTAAATGATATATAAAATTATCTAGATACACAAGTTCATAACCAGAAAAAATAAAATGATATATAAAATAACATAACAATTTATTGTTCCAATACAAAATAAAAATGTCAAATATAATGAACCATATCCAATAGAATTTCGTAAAATGCTAATAATCCATATAATCATGATCTCGCATCCTTCGTTGATCTTGATTTTGTTGTTCGGTATTTGGTTCTCGCAACCTTCTCTTGATCTCCATTGTCTTGATTAATTGGTTGTTGCAAAATGTTTTGTGCTTCGCGCTGCTGCTTGGAGGTGGTAAGTATTGAAGGATTGCACCAATGAATGCTTGGATGGACTCAAGCTGGGAGCTCATCATACGAATCTTTTCCTCACTACTTTCCAATCGCTGTTCACTACTTTCCAGTCGTTGTGTCGGTTGACTAATTTTACGTGAATCAGCTTTCTGATCGGAGCACGCTTACATGCTGTTGTAGATAACTTTCAACACAATCATCACTAGAGTCAACATGACCAACTCCATACGCGCGTCCCTTATACCTTCCTCCTGCAGCCTCTAACCAACATCTATTCCTTAGCCTTTCCTCTTCAATAGGGTCTAGGGGAGTGCATTGTGAAGCACCCACATTAGAAGTTGACTCAGACAATACTCGAGAATATCTACTCTCAAAGTCTTCCTGTTCAAACAAGACAATTTGTACATGTGTCTTTTAAATAATAAAAAACTTTAAGATTTAATGAAAGAAACTCACATGTGTCCGCCTAGACCTATCATCGACGAATTCGCTAGTACAAGATGAAGGTGGCACCAGTTTATTGGTCTCCAATTCAGAACTCTCAACTTTTCACGTTTAAGGAAAAACTCATAAAATCTGCAGAAAAAAAGAGGAAATAAGAAAAGAAAAAAGAGACAGAAAGGAACCCAAAAGACCAATATTCAAATCAATATATGACTGGTCAAAGAACCATGGAATCATAGAACTAAATTTTCAACAAAGTAGACAAGTTCAAAAGAAGATCTAAAGAGTGTTTGTTACACACTTTACCTCCTACTCCAATTTTTTTTTTTTTTTTTTGCATTGTAACACAAATAGGATACTAAAGAAATTCCCTAAATTGGTTGCTAGAAGAAAACTGAATGCACAAGGAGGCCACAAGAAATAGAGACAAAAGGAGAATTATAAACACCTTGCTATAACCAACACAATTGATATAAATATATTTTTAGCACCTCAGTTTAAATTTAGATCCCCATGGTCTAAAAGTTTAGTTTTTAGTCCTTGATTGAAGCAATTATTGGAATGAAAAATGTATTTAAACCTATTCATTGATTTAAGAGATTTTATAGGTTGTCATACTCATGAAATTGATGGCATCCTAACTTATTTGGTCAAGAAAGAAAAGAAACAAACAGGAAAAAGTAAAATGAACGAAACATACCTCCTTAGTGTTCATATCACATCACATTACATCTCATACCATAAAAATTATCAACATTTCTTTTGAACATGACAGAAACAGTTTTCCTATGATCTAGTATATTGATGGTAAAATCTTAAGGGGTATTAAGATAAAAAGTATATTTTCAAAGCCATGGTCTTGAGAGGTGACTACGAGTGATACCTAGGTCGCTAGGTCTAAGAAATATAACAAGGTTCACATAGGGAATCAAGAATCTGATACATTTTGGCAAAACCTAGAATACTACCAAATAAATTTAGAATTCAACTTAACAGCAACTTTAAAGCAAAAACGCATTGCCTTGCTCCTTGACTGAAGCAACTATTGGGATGAAAAATGTATTTAAACCTATTCATTGATTTAAGAGATTTTATAGGTTGCCATACTCATGAAATTGATGGCATCCTAACTTATTTGGTGAAGAAAGAAAAGAAACAAACAGGAAAAAGTAAAATGAAGGAAACATACCTCCTTAGTGTTCATATCACATCAGATCCCATACCATAAAAATTATCAACATTTCTTCTGAACATGACAGAAATAGTTTTCCTATGATCTAGTAGATTTATGGTAAAATCTTAAGGAGTATTAAGATAAAAAAGATGTTTTCAAAGCCATGGTCTTGAGAGGTGACTACGAGTGATACCTAGGTCGCTAGGTCTAAGAAATATAAAAAGGTTCACATAGGGAATCAAGAAGCTGATACATTTTGGCAGAACCTAGAATACTACCAAATAAATTTAGAATTCAACTTAACAAAAACTTTAAAGCAAAAACGCATTGTCTTGCTCCTTGACTGAAGTAACTATTGGGATGAAAAATGTATTTAAACCTATTCATTGATTTAAGAGATTTTATAGGTTTCCCATACTCATGATATTGATGGCATCCTAACTTATTTGGTGAAGAAAGAAAAGAAACAAACAGGAAAAAGTAAAATGAAGGAAACATACCTCCTTAGTGTTCATATCACATCACATCCCATACCATAAAAACTATCAACATTTATTCTGAACATGACAGAAACAGTTTTCCTATGATCTAGTAGATTGATGGTAAAATCTTAAAGAGTATTAAGATAAAAAGTATATTTTCAAAGCCATGGTCTTGAGAGGTGACTACGAGTGATACCTAGGTCGCTAGGTCTGAGAAATATAACAAGGTTCACATAGGGAATCAAGAAACTGATACATTTTGGCAGAACCCATAATACTACCAAATAAATTTAGAATTCAACTTAACAACAACTTTAAAGCAAAAAACGCATTGCCTTGCTCCTCACGACAGAGTAACCTTGAAAGGAATTGAGAAAAGTCTTCTACTCCGTTGAAATAATTACACATTAAACATCATACCAGATAGGGTTACAATATAAAGATATATAAGTCAAATAACTTTAATAAGAATCAAAGTATATTGCAGAGAAGGTAAAAGCAGGGATGAATCAAAGTTTTATTTGCCTGTAACATCCAAATAATCACATTTAAGAAATAAAATTGAATATCCCAACCAGCTGAGCCATAATCAACTACAGCAACATATGAAAAATAACATTTAAAATTGTCATTGATCTAATGTCAGAAAGCATCCAACCACACAAGCAATAATGCATGACAGTGTCAGCCCCAAACTCGATAATCCACAGATTCTGTAAAAACTCAATTTATATCCAAGAACCGATCATAAATCAAGCAAACCAAATGAAACATTTCAGAAAACTCAAATCAAGAACAAAAAACAAAAAATCAAAAAGAGAAAGGAAAACTTAGGCATGCGACCCTTGCTTCTAACCACCAATCTCCAAGTTGACCTGCAATGGCTAGGGGGGGCGCAAGTCACAGTTAGGGCTTCGCGGTTGGGTTGGGGTGATAATGTCTAGGGCTTCGCTGGGATGCAGAGGCCGCAGAGGAGGTGAGGGAACACTACAAGAAAAAATCATTTTAGCGACCGAAAAAATCGGTCGCTAATGTCAAAAAATCGGTCGCTAATCAGTTAGCGACCGAAATTAGCAACCGAAAGGCGTCGTCGCAAAAATCCAAGTCGCTAATGTGTTAGGGACCGATTTTCATTTCGGTCGCAAAATAGCGACCAATTTTATTTCGGTCGCAAAATAGCGACCAATTTTATTTCGGTCGCAAAATAGCGACCGAAATTAATATATCAAATTGGTTGCTAAATCGGTGACAAAGTTTAAAAAATAGCGACCGATTTAAATCGGTCGCTAAATCAATGACAAAGTTACAAAAATAGTGACCGATTTAAATCGGTCGCTAAATCGATGACAAAATTAAAAAAATAGCGACCGATTTAAATCGATCGCTAAATCAAGAACAAAATTATTTTTATTTATTTACATTTTTAATTATATTTATTATTTATTTCCCCTACCT